CCTGGGTTTCAACAACTTGGATCTGTATCGGATAACGGATACATCATCAATCCTGATCCAGCTACTCGTATTTGCACTGACCGTTCTGACGCCCTCAACACCCCGATACCAATTCCTCTTTGTGGCTAATGCCGCGGTATGGAGACTGGTGTTTTCGGTGGGCATTGGATACCTTTTGACCGAGCAATCCGACTGTAAAGCGTGGACCCGTCATTTTCTTAAGTATGGTGAATCACCTAATGAGGCCTGGAACCAGTGGAAAGGCACTTATCATCTGAGTATGATTATGTGCTATGCTAGTTTCATTGCTGCCGTATGGAAAATGTACACGCTGCCCGCTGACTGGGGCTACGGTCTGGTCTTGCTCCGTCATGTTCTGGGCGCAGGGCTCATTAGCTTGCAAATCTGGACCTCCGCCAGCATCTACGAGTCTCTCGGGGAGTTTGGCTGGTTCTATGGGGACTTCTTCTTCGAAGGGGCCCATAAGTTAACGTATAACGGTATCTATCGCTTCCTGAACAATCCTGAACGGGTGCTGGGTCTGGCGGGCGTCTGGGGCGCTGTCTTGATCACAAGTAGTGGCGCAATTACATTCCTGGCCCTCTTGAGCCACATTCTAAGTATGGCTTTCATCCAATTCGTGGAGCGCCCGCACATGCAGAAGCTGTATGGCCGAAGCCTGCGACAGGATGCGGGGCTGGTCAAGAGCCTGAAGCGGACCCTGCCCCCCACTCTCCGTCAGCTTCATGGAAGCGTGGACAAGATCTTCGATGATTCTTTCGAGTTTATCGAGGATCTGATCGACACCGCTCGCCCTAAACTAGCTGCCGGCGTCAATACTTTCGTCAAGGACACTACCGCACTATTCCAGACATATCCCGCACGTGTGACCATCTCCCGCATTGATGAGGACCTCGCTGGCTTGGACTCCCGGGACTATGCCCTGGAAGTCGAAGGCACTGATTCCTCCTCTATCGAGGAGTGCGATAAGAGTACTGGTAGAGAAGGTGCCAACGCTCGTGTGCCCCTCGACAGACGAGGCGACCTGAAGAACCTGGTCTTCGAATACGGCTCCCCGATCAAAGTCAAATGGACCGCTCCTCTGAACCACAGCAAGAAGGATTGGATCAGCCTGTACCGAGTCACGGACAATACCTCGCGTGAAGTCTCTCGCGTCTCCTCTCAAGGAAGATGGGTCGCCACGAACGAGGGCTTCTACGACAACCTCACCTGCGAGAAGGGCATCGTAACCAGCGACATTGTCACCCAAAACAGTGAGCATCGCGACGTCGCCACCGGCGAAGTCATCTTCTCGGGCGACAAGCTCTTCTGGACTCAAGGTGTCTTCGAGTTCCGTTATCACCACAATGGCAAACACAATGTCATGGCGATTTCTCGTCCCTTCGAGATCCGTATCCGGCGCTTCGATGAAGAGTCCTTCGAAGATAACCAGGCGTCTGTCGAAAAGAGCCTTCTCCCTGTTGTCCGCAACTGCTTCGATCGTGACCCAGAAATTGCCCCCGAAACTGTGGAAGAGCAGTTCGGTAGCCTTGTAGAGCGTGACGGCAAATTCGCTAAGAGAGTCGTCTTTGCTGTACATCAGATGTGAGTGACTATTTTACCAATAGTTCCAGCGGCCAATATTCAGTGTGCTAATTTATATATTACCTAGGTTCGGTATCGAATTCGCCCCTGAAGTTGTCCGAGCTGATGGGACTGTTCGGAACCTCGCTTGGAGGATCTGTAACGCGAAGCGGGTTTTGGTGAGTATTTTCACTTTCACATATCAACCCCTTTTCTTTGGTTACGAAAGGCTAATAGGTTATGTTTATACTAGGCTCCTTATAGCATGACCAGAGATGGTGCTACAACACCCACTGAGGCTCACGAGAAGGATGAGGAATGAGGAGTGTTTCTTACTGACTTGGGGGTTGTTGAATGATGCGCTGTTGCGACTCTGCCTGCTTATTTATCCCAGTTTCTCTTTCGCGGATCGAGACTCGATCGGCAGATGTATTACAGGAGTAAGAGACTATTTGTGTAGTTGCATGGTGCTGCAGAAAGTCCAACATGGGATTACAAATGATAAACAAGTGTAAATAAAACTTCACCATACATGTGGCTATTCCACTTCTCTGTTACTTTTTACTATTGTCTATACGGAACTTTAGTTATAGGTGTAGGTATATGGAAGACAAGTATTGGTATCAAGATGAGAGAAGATATCATTATTACTACTAGCTATAATAAGGCGGACGAGACGAGAGAAAGTCTGCAGGCAGACGAGAAAGTCAGCTCACGATCCACTCGAGAATGTGGTTCTGAGATATAGGGCATGGACTCTATTCCAAGAAGAATAGAGTATATGGAAGGATCAGCCAAGCCGGGTAATTCATCCCTTCCCCTGCCAGTTCCGATCCCCCGTCAAGCCATCCAAAACGAACGACGAGGCGGGAAAAAGGCCCTGACACAAGTCAGGCACAACAAACATACCGACGCCGACAATGCGGACGACAACGATATAGCCTACCTCTCCAGGACTCCACAACCTTCCTCCCTTGAACGCCTGCACATCTTCCCGAGGGAGGATAGCGAGCGTAAGGTCCAGTATAAGGGAGATGGAAAAGTAGATCGTTGAAGTCATATGCATGACATTGTTGGATGATGCAGGCCCGAGGGGCGGTTCTCCAAGAAGGAGATCATTGAATGGATTGACTTGTTGTCATCATCGACGTGTGGGTTTGTTGTGTTTATGGTTGTGTGTAATCGAAAGTTATAAGCATACCTCTTCTGATGAGTCCTGGATTGTGTAGCTCGGTGTGTGCCAATGGCACTTATGAATTTACAATTTCCTAGAGAAGTCTTGAGAGCTGTCAGTAAGATTGTTGACTGAAAGCAATGAGTGGAACAAGTAGTGAGGTTTGTCCAATTGGTTCAGGAGTTTTTGGTAAGGTATTTTGTTTTCTTCAAGGTTTTTGCAGAAGCAGAACTGAAAAAAATGTTTCTCATCATTGGATGATGGTTGAGGCCTGGAGGGCTGTGGGAGGGGAAAGAGGGTGGCATACCAATTAGTTTACAATGGCGGATTGGAGGTGATATAGCTCTAGCTATTATCCTATTATCTTAAAGCAATGTCAGCAAAGCTACTCAACCAGACATGGAAGAGAAAACACGAGGCAATTGTAGTGCATAATCAGATGGTGATGCATGTTTGTTCAAGGCCCATTTGTTTGTCGCCAGAACTGAAAGATTTTTGGATCTTGTTCATCAAGCAATGATAGGAAGGAAGTGAAGAAGTGGGAAAGACTCACATTATACTAGTTAGTAACAAATTGCCAATGAAGGCAGACTTGGAATAATTGAAGTCTCAACATAAAAGACTTGCTGCTTTTCGCAAACAATCAAGCTTGTGTGGTGCGGGAAAAGAAGAGAAAGGAAAGGCGCGAGTCGAAGCGAAGAAAAGGAAAAATGGACGAGGAAAAAGAAAGGGCCGAATTCCGCGCTGCCCGCCTTGCAAACCATGCAAACTTCCCTCAAAATTGTAGATGACCGCTTCTGGACATCGACAGCAGCTCTGCTTGGCCATCCAAGTTTCTGACCCAAATCTTTGTCTCGCTTCCTCAATCGCTTGTCGCGCTGGTACGAGGATGCCAAGTCATGTGTAATGACTGACAGACGAAGAATCAATGGGCCGCCTAGCGGCACGAGGCCGGCCGTTTTCGCCTCATCTCTCAAGTCCGCTTCTAGCATTTCTACCGGCAGACCACGACGTCAAAGGCAGCCGGATGAGCTTCGCAAGATCTGTAAGAGCAACTACGATTCTTGTTGGATGATACTATGGCTAACCTACTTTCGCTCCAGTCCTGAAGACAGGTCTCATCCCTTCGGCATCTGGTTCCGCCTATCTTGAATTCGAACCCTCCGCATCACTTGCTGCTGCACGCTCAAACCCCCAATCCCTGATTCCTCCTTCCTCGGCATTGAAGCTTGCCTGTACAGTTCATGGCCCTAAGCCCCTGCCGCGCTCGGCTAGCTTTTCGCCCAACGTCGTCCTTACGACACATGTGAAGTATGCGCCGTTTGCTGCCCGCCAAAGAAAAGGGCATATCCGCGATGCTAGCGAACGGGACCTCGGTGTGCACCTAGAGACGGCGCTTAGGGGAGTAATTGTTGCTGAGCGCTGGCCGAAGAGTGGCCTCGATATCACAATCACCATACTGGAAGCAGAAGATGATCGCTGGTGGGGCGATGCACCCGACTCGCATGATGCTCCTTGGGGAATGATGAATGTGTTGGCTGGTTGCATTACCGCTGCGTCTGCGGCAATTGCTGATGCTCGAATTGACTGCCTTGATCTTGTAGCTGGTGGTGTGGCTGCCATCGTCTCCGACGAGTCAGCAGAGGGTGAAACATCTACTCCTAAGCTGATGCTCGATACGGACCCAGCTGAGCACAAGTCTATTCTGTCTGCTTGTGTCGTCGCCTACATGCCCTCTAGAGATGAAATCACGGAATTATGGCTCAAGGGCGATCATTCTAAGGCATCATTAGGCACTACTGATCAGAGTCTGAACCATGAATCTCTCATTGATGGGGCAGTGAATGCAGCTCGGGGTGCCCACACAGTGCTTGCAGAAGCTGTGAAGGAGTCTGCAGAGAGGTTTGCTGGTTTATCCACTGGGGCAAACACGGTGTAATTGTGATCCCGATTTGTGCACATGTGGCGTTGTTCAATATCATATATCCTTCACATTTTAGCACCTAATACAATGCGCTCCCACTATGCCTCCCTTTCCACCAACCTCTAATAACTTCGTATATCCTCGTGCTGTGCGGTTTTATCTGCGAACAGCCATCCATGGCCATTCCACGGCGACGATGTCACTGTTTGGTGAATCAGTTACTAAGGGAATCACGTCTCTTCATCTTTTCATCTTGTGGTCTTCTATATATTCTATAAATTCTTCCTCCCCTCCCTCTCTTCTTCTCTCTCTCTCTCAACCAACCTTCTTCTACAACCCTCTCAACCGGACCAACCAAGGTGTTCGTCAAGTCAAGTCATACCACCTTGTCTCTCTACATAACACTCCCAATACCTCATCCTCAACTGCTCTTTATCGGCCGTAATAATGACTAAGCCTAATCCCAACGACACTATCGTGTTCCTATACATGTGCCTCCTGTATTCTGACTTCAGGGTTGTAAGTCTCCCTTCTACTTGGTGCTCATCTTCCCTCACACATTAACATGCCCATCAGGTCGACTGGAAGGCTCTCAGCGAGGCCACCAACCTCAACAATGGGGCCGCGCGCATGCGTTACCACCGTCTGAAGAAGAACCTTGATGCCGTCATCAAGAATGGCAAATATGACTTGAGCATCGGTTCCGCCACCACCCCGACCAAGAAGCATGCTTTGGATATGATAACTGCTACCGACAAAGAAAGCAGTGTTGAGCCTAACAGCCCCACCATCGAACACTCTAGTGGAGTCGTTAGCATCGCCAATCTCCTTAACCCGGCATCCCCCAAGCGCAAGATGGCGGATGAGGTTGATGATGACTCCGAAGCCTCAACCATCATCGATACCAGCTTCCGCTTCATGCCCATCTACACTCCTGTTACGCGTTCCCCCAGCTCTCAGGGTCTGCAGCCGGCCGCGAAGAAGGCTAAGAAGGAGGAGTGAGGGATTGGTGTTCATTGCTTGCTTGCTCACCATATGGGAGCTCAAAGAGTCGGTTTGAATTTTAGTTTGCGGAGATGTGACCGGCTCCTTTTTCGTTTTTCTGTCTCTTGTTTTCTTCCTTGCTTGGGGAGTTACTGGTAGGTTAACTGAATCTGGACGGAAATCGGGCGTTGGGGCGTTTGTATATATTATATCTCGGGCCTTTCTCGGTTGTTGCTGAGATGGGACTGGTTTCCAAGTGCCCTTAGTTGAATGAAGGATTTCTCGTCATACGTCGGATTTTTTCAATTCTAGACGGGGAGCGTAGGCTAAGAGCGTAGTAAGCTAAGAGGCATTGTTAGTACGTGCCTTGGTCTATATCTGAGGTTTAGGTGGACTCTCATTCGTGTTAGTGGGCCTCCCAGTCCGCGTAGATATAACTGCTGTATTTACCATTGAGAATCCCAGAAGCTTAGGAGTCCGCCATAGTATGATAAGATCTCTATTACATGCTGAATATAGCTGTGCTGCAGAATGTGTTTAACGAACACCGGTATCAGGGTATATTATATACCTTAATAATCCCCGTCCTATACGCAAGAGCGATAAAGCACTGAAGATGGCTGGGTTTACGAATGTAACCATGTGAGTCGTTCGTAGATAAAGTGTGTGCCATCTTGGTTCTCACTGGACTGTGTGTATACACTATACAGAGCGGAGGCCAGATATAGTAAGCTTAGTTATAGGCATGCACAGCATGGATTCCACCTACTACCTGGCTTAAGGGAAGACTATATAATGCATGAAATAAAACGCCACATGTAGATTAACGCAATCTCACAATGCCACTTACAATGCTAATTGTCCTCCCCCACCACCTTGAAGCACGTACATATAACAGAGAATCATATGATCATATGATCTTGGGATATACTTTGGTGCAAACCACATAATCACCGCCATCAGGAACAGGGCCCTTGTACTAAAATAGTCGATCGATTGAGGGGCAGAAGTGAAGCGTGGATGATAATCAATCCCAGTGCGTTAGCGTCCATCAATCACATTTGTGTGATCGGAGCCGACAACTCTAGTAGGTTAGTGGTCCGGTTTAAGCATCATTTAGGCGCAATTGTAAGGGCCACTTTTTTTTGTTTTTTGTTCTCGATATTAGGTACGGTCTAGATAGGTCGGATTTTCTTGCGTGTCTGCCCCCGTCTAGTCTAGTTGAAATCATATCTCCGTTTAAAACTAACCTAAGGCTGAGTGGAGCTGTCGGAGGTAAAAAATGAATAATATATATGCAGGGTATGCAGTAGATGAGATTTGAGAGGTGTGAGTACGTGTGTAGGGGAGATTGACAATATCAATTATGGATACCTTGTTTATTATCGTGCGGGTATACTTTCATATCCCAGCTCCGAGGAAAAGGAGTCCATGGATGACTATATGGTCCATGGATCAATTTTTCCACTATTGAACGAGGTTTCAGTTCAGTTCAGGATAGCCATAGAATTGGATACTTCTGAATGGCCTCCGTAGACATAACAAGTACAAGTACTAAGCATAAAAGTTCATCGGGGGGCAGTTGGCAGTATCAACTCCCGGCCGCCGGGGATAATTCCCAGCGAGGAAAGGTCTCGTCCGGCGGGTGTCCCCCGTGATTGGCTCCAGTCCCCTAACCTGTTTTTGCGGCGTTTGTCTTGTTCGGCCTTGGAATGGTCTCTCTTCCTTGTCAACTTTCAATTTTCTCCATCTCCAACTCCCAGAGTCTCCATCACCCTATCCCACCCAGTCTCCAGTCTTTTCCGCCATGATCGCATCTTTCGATTTCCCAAGCAAGCATGGAGCTATCGCGCTTCGGCGTTTCAGCCCCTGAGATGCGCGATCTTGCTCCATTCCCCTCAATCTAAGAGGATGGTTCCATCTCCGATGCATGGTTCATAGTCATTTAAACTTCCCAAGCTTGCTCGTGGTGAGCCCCCTGCGGCTTCCACTTTCCAGCGATAAACAGAAAAACAATCAAAAGAGGGGCATGTGTGATGAGAACACCGAGAGTGGAACAGCTAATTTTAAAAAATGTTCCTGTCACAAAAGCAAAATAGGGATCCAACGTCGTCGTGTCAAACGGCACTGTCACATTCCTCCGTTAGTGCTGGGCTTCCAATAGCGGCCCAGGGTCGGGCATCTAAGTTACTAACATGACCTGCCCCTGTCAATCGATACGGTGAATGGGGCGGGTTTTACCATAGTACACGCCCGGGATATGCTGATGCTCGGCTCGAACGAGGCCTTTCCGCTTAGTGACCGGGTCGTGGTTCGCTGTCGGTGGACGATCAACTACCCGATAGGTGCAAGGGCACGTTCATCCTCTCCGCGCTAATTTCATAGGTGTTCGTGTGCTCCATTCCGCGCGAATTCTCGGCTTCTGACTGGTGCGCGCAGTCGGTTTGTCCATGGCCCTAAGCCGTCAACTCTTCGTCCCATGAACTCTGTACCTCCTCGACCCCGACCCACTCCGCTGTCGGCCGGCCTATGGTTACCGTATGTGCCTGGTAAATAACGTCAGGTCTGGATCTTTTGCTAATATTGGCATGATGGCGGTACTAGCTCGACCGCACGTCGTGCAGATCCAATTTCGACGCCTTCGCTGTCAGGTGGACTCGGGATTCTAGGTTTATGCATAGTGGGTATGAGGACGTTAGGGCTTTCCTCTGCTGCACGTTCTACACAGTCGCCAGTCAGCACAGCTGCTTCGATTGTGTGCTGGGCACTGGCCGCTGGAATTCCACAATGGCCACGAGGAGGGGGTCCCTGTAACTCGTATAAGCACTTCAGACCGCGCCATTTAACTAGGGCAGACAGCTATCGCAGAGCCATGGTCTTCGAGTGTGACCGGCGCAATGCGCATCTAGCTCGCAATTTCTTTTCACTGGTCCCCTCCCGTCCGCCGGCTCAGCCCCATCTTGTCTTGATGGATTACGGAGACCTGGACCACTTCTACCCCTGATACAGGCACGAACAATTATCGGATCTGCGAACCGGGCAGCTATCCCACGTAGACGATCCATTCTTTGTTCATCGATGCTGCTTTTCCCTTCTCTCAGCTTCCTCTCTCTCCCTCTCCCTCTCCCCGTCATTCTTCCTTCCCATCACTCCTTCATCCTCTCGAGTACGGAGTGCTCTTGTGTTCAGCGACTTCGTTATGAGTTAGACGTTATCATGACAGCAGCTCTAGATTACATTCCTTTCCTACATTCATCATCTCCGATCTGATCGTCATCGTCATCCCTCGAGAAGCTCGTATTCTCTCATCCGAAAGTCTCGTCGCATTGTTACCATAAACATACCTCCGCACGCACTTGAGCGTTGCCACACACATCACAGCCATACCAAATCTATCCATATGGTTTAGCTGCAGCTGGTGACACCATTATGGTTGCCTTCAAGCGATTCTTCCATGCGGAGAAATCTTCGCCGGCAGCTTTGGACGGCCAAGAAGCTCGGGCAGGCAGCGTAGGAGGCGATGATCGCGGCTTGCCCAACATGAAGACAACACGGCGCATGGCCGGGGAAGTGCATTACCAGACGCCTGCAGAGCAGTGTGAAGTAACGCACAATCAGATGCAGTCAAGGCCCCTATCCTCTCGTTCGCATGCGCCTCCATCTCGGGCATCGACTCGCCCTCCGGGGAAGGTCACCCGGCACGTCGATCTGCTTGATGCTTTGTTCTCCTCGCACCGGTATCACATCCAAAGCAGCAACACTTTGTCACCGATCACACCATACAACGAAGACATAGCCGAACGGAACATGGCTCCCTTCTTAAGAGGACTGGCGCTCAAAAACGCCTACTCGCGTCCGGTCTCAGGTCTGTATCAGGAAGACGTAGCAGACCGGAATATCTCGAGTAGAGGCAGCAGTCGCTCCATTCCCCACAGTACTAGCTCGCGCTCTCAAGCTACACCATCTCGTTCCCGGCAGGGCTCACAGAGGTATGTAGACAATACTAGGGATCGTCCGCATTCACGGGGGAAAAGCACGCGGTTGGTGCGGTCAACCTCTCCGGAGAGTTCGGTCTCTGTACCTCAATTGCGTACTGAGGAGCGCCCTGGCTCTTCGAGGGAAGACGCCTTTCAGAGAAGCTCCCTGCGATCTCAGCGGTCTGCCCCTGACTTGCTGGCTGAACGGAACAATGCGCTTAGGGAAGAATCCGTTTCGAGTTCAAATGGATTCTTGGGCATCCCTCCTGCTCACAAACAAGGCGACAAGTGGAGCAATACGCCCCTACCTGATAGCCCAACACTACCACTATCTATGGGCAGTGACAGTACGAGCGAGACTGAATCCTTTCAGGATAAACAGAGCACTCCTCCAGCATCCCCTCGTCAAGGAAGCAAGAAGAACATCCGAGACCTTTCTATAAACACAAAGCTAGCAGCTCGAGGAAGTCCAACTACGAAAATTGCACATCGGGCGATACAGCCGCCTACTCCCAGTGCTGTCGATCCCAAGCAAGCTCCTAGCATTGCGGAGGTTATGAACAGCCCTCTCCCTGTGGGAACACCAACGTCCATCACCTCCATGCCTCCGTCCAATGACAAAGTTATCGAGATTATGGACATGTTCAGGCAGGCATTTGTCTCAACCCAAGAGGTCACACCACACCCTACCTTTGAGAGTCTTCAAGATGCTATTGTCAGGGAGATCAATTCTCACGAGGCCTTTCAGCGCATTTCCTTCCCCACTGAACCCTCACTCACTCCTTCGCCGTCTCAGGAATCCTTTGATAGGGCTCCTCATGTGCCATTGTGCCCCGCGCCTGGTCTGGAACGGAGCCTCTCCTCAAAGGAAGGACAGTTCTCGAAACTCATCCGCAAAAGCTCCTTCAAAAAGCACAAGAGAACTCCTGAGCAGCGCAGAAGCATCTCCACGAGCGTGCCCGTGACGACTCTCCGGGCCACACAGACAACAAGTCGGCGAAGGCACACTGATGCTCCTCTCCCCTCCCCAGGCGTTCTCGGTAACAGGGAGACGAAGCAGCAAAAAATGGAGAGCCCTCCCGAGGAAATGACCTACATGGATCTACTTCAATCGTTCCGCCAACCTCCAAGCAACACAGGCCGGGCTGTATCCATGAGAACCAACTCGTCCCATGGCAACCTAACGAACATCAGCGGTGCCCCATCAGTCCTCCGCATGCGCGCACAAGCCTCCCCAGTTAGAATTAGCCAGATCAGCTACTCAGAAGACGACAGCGACGACGAAGAAATCATCCAACTACCCAGCGTTGGCGGGACACCGCACGTCTGCATCCAGGGTGTCGATCAAAACAACGTCACCTACATGGCTAGAAACACGACTCCGCGCAACGCCTACCGCCTCATGAATTGGCCACGGAAATCAAGTCCCAATGCGTACAGCAAAACCACAATTTCCAACGAGCGGATCCCTTCCCGAACTTCGTCCAGAAATGGACAGCAGTTCTAGGTGACCGCACTGGGTGCAGACTCGTTGAATGTTGCTTTCTTGCTAATGCTTCACTCTCTTGATACCCCTATTTGACAATGATACCCCTCGCCGTGTTCCCAAAAGATAACAGCACCATCACGTCCACTCCCGTTCACAACCTATAATCGTTAATTCGCTCCTTCCCACCCTTCATCTGATATGATAGTCTCATGAAACACATGCGGACTAAACACTTTTCGATCTCTACAATCCCACGAGTGACCCTCAACACTCCGCCCACTCGCTCTCTCATCTTTCCTATACAAACCACAATCCTTTCACTTTGCATACGGCATCCAGCTTTTCATCTCTTATTCGGTCACTTCATCACTCATTCCTTACTCTCTGCATGGATTTCGCATATTCTCTCTACACTACACTGCATCTCTCATTATCAAGCGTCCTAGCGCTCACTCTTCTTTATCCTTCTCTGTCACACTCACTATTTCTTTCTCTTCCTCACCAGCGAAACTACTAGGCAACCAGTCCTTATCATCACCTGAAAAAAGAAAATAATATAATACAATGATACTATAAGTAAAAGAGATTATATCGAAAAACATGGTTCTTTCAATTCAACTCGCTAGCTACTGAAACGACCTATATCTGACTCCCCCGATGGTAAACCGATGAAAGGTATCTCAAGGAATATCATATCTGCCCCACCCAACTCGCATCATCCATGCAATTGTATGCATCTAAACTCCTGAATTTCACTTGTTTCTTTTTTTTATTTGTTCTTTGTCTTTTCTGAAGACGCTCGTGGATTTCTTTTTAGGGTCCCCTATGTCGAACTCAACGTGAAACTGTATTGGCAGGAATGGAAAAGTCATAACAGTCATAGGAAGGAAGGAAACTGGATGATAGAAAATTTTTAGGGAAAAAAAAAATAGATTGAAACATCCGAATCCAACACGGTAGTAGTAGTAGTAGATTGCGTTTAGTACGAGCCTGTTGGGATGATCATGTTAGATATATTGTGGGTGAGCAAAATAGGGATTTTGGATATCAACTTACGTCCGAACATGCACCACTTCTCGGCGAAGCGGGTGCAGTGGGGGTTGGTACACTTGGTCTCGCCGGGGACGATGCCCTCGGGCTGGTCAAAGGGAATGCAGAGAGACTTGGCACCCATGCTAGGAGCGCGGGCATCTTGGGGAACGCCAGAGTCCTCCTCGTGCTTGCGGGCACTCAGGTCCTTGATCTGGTCCTCACACTCCTCGGTCAAGCAGTGGGGGATCAGGCAGACGTTCTTGTCGTTCAGGGCGGGGGTGAAGTCATCCCAGTTGGTGATGATCTTGCGGTGGGAGCGGTACTCGGCGTCGGCACGGTTGTACAGGTCCTTCTGGATGGTTTCCAAGAGAGCGGGCACGGCGGTGGACAGCTCGGAGATCTGGATGGGAGCCTTGCCGTCCTTTCCGGGGACGTCACGACGAGCAGCAGTGACGAAGCCGCCAGCAAGCTCGCCAGGACCGAACTCAAGACGGAGAGGGACACCGCGGAGTTCCCACTCGTTGAACTTCCAGCCGGGGGAGTAACCTTCTCTCAGATCGCTCTCGGCGCGGACGCCGGCGTCGCGGAGGGTGGAAACGAGGCGCTCAACCTCGCCGTAGAGCTTCTTACGCTCCTCATCGGTGGTCTTGGCGGTGATACCGACGGGGACAATGATGGTCTGGGTGTCGGCGACACGAGGAGGGAGGACGAGACCGCGGTTGTCACTGTGGATCATGACCATGACACCGAGGGTACGGGTGGACAGACCCCAGGAGTTCTGCCAGACGTGGAGAGGAGCGGCCTTCTCCTTGTCGTCGCTCTTCGCGGAGGGGTCCTCGACGGTGATACCGAACATCTTACTGAAGTTCTGGCCCAGACCGTGGGAGGTACCACCCTGGATACCACGACCGGTGGCGGGGATGTAGCCCTCAACGGTGGTGGTGTAGAGACCACCGGCGAACTTCTCCTTCTCGGTCTTCTGACCCTTGACAACAGGAACGGCCAGAAGTTCCTCGTAGATACGAGCATAGAGGTCGAGGATTGTCATAACCTCCTCGTGAGCACCCTCCTTGGTCAGGTGGGCTGTGTGACCCTCCTGCCACAAGAATTCTCTGGTTCTGAGGAAAGGCTGGGGGTGCTTGAACTCCCAACGGACGACGGAGTTCCACTGGTTGAGCTTGAGGGGCAAGTCACGGTGACTTCTGATCCACTTGGCGTAGTAGGGGTACATGACAGTCTCCGACGTGGGACGGATAGCGATCTTCTTCTCCAGAGGGGTGGAACCACTGTAGCAGAGAGGGGGTTATCAGTGACTTGTCTATATGAGGGTGTGTCTAGAGATAAGGAAACATACGCGTGTGTCACCCAAGCGACCTCAGCAGCAAAGCCCTCGATGTGGTCCTTCTCCCTCTGCAGCACATCCTCAGACACGAAAAGAGGGAAAGAGCAGTTCTTGACGCCCATCTTCTTGATGTAAGTGTTGAACCACTGCTGGATTTCCTCCCAGATGAAGTAGGAAGCGGGCTGGCGCAAATCAGTACAGGTCATCGACGGATCCTCGGGCGAACATAGCAACCCACCTTGAGAATGAAGCATCCGGAGACATCGTAGTAGTCAAGCATGTCACCCTTGGTCAGGACCTGCTGGTACCAACCAGGGAAATCCTCCTCCTTGGCGACATCGATACCGATCAGAGCAGCGCCCTCGATCTTCTTCTTGGGAGCCTTGGCAGCGGGCTTCTTGGCCTCCTGCTTGCCAATTCCCTTGTTCGCGGCCTTCTCAGCCTTGTCAGCGGCCTGCTTGGCCAGCTTAGCAGCCTTCTTTGCGGCGTTCTTGGAGACCTCTCCCTGGGGAGCATCGGCATCGGCGGGGTTCTGGGTGCGATCAGGAAGGGTCTGGGCGGCGGGGGCCTCGACAGGGGCCGCAGCGTCAGCGGGGGTCTGGCTTGCCATGTTGAGAGGGAGACAACGGTCGGCGCAAACAGCAGAGGAGGACCGGATACGAAGGGAAGGCGAAGATAAGAGGAAGATCTGGGGCGGGAAGAGGGGTTGAGTCAAAGTGGGATGCATCTGCAAATCTTCACCGCCCGGGGCCGGCAGAACTTTTAGTGCAAACATTCGAGGCGAACGTCCAGCGGCTTCAGGCATTTGGCTGTCGGAGCTTGTCTTTCCCCCTATTTCCTTCATCTCCGTCTGTTTCACCATCATGGCAGGCATCTTTGAGCAGCCGCGGAATGCGGACACCCTTTGTGAGTCCCCTCCCCAACCCCCAATCCCCTTCCCCTGACAGCTATCACTAACCAGTCTCGCACAGTCTTGGGGGGGCAGAAAATCACCGGCGCTGATGTGCGGGAGCAGAACGGTATGAACTGATGGATTCTCTCGTCCAAGGAGGTGGATGCTGATGACGATGTAGTCCTTGCTACGCAGGCCATCGCCAATGTTGTCAAGAGCTCTTTCGGTCCGTCCGGTCTGGACAAGATGATGGTGGATGATATCGGTGTACGCATCACCTTTCGACCCCGCGTTCAATATAGAGCAGCTCTCTGATGGTCTTATAGGATGTCACGGTTACCAATGACGGTGCAACAATTCTGAGTCTTCTTGATATTGAGCACCCCGCTGGAAAGATTCTCGTGGATTTGGCCCAACAACAGGATAAGGAGGTCCGACCCCCCGCTCCTAGTACTCCACACCCTGTCTTCCTATACACACGATGCTGATATCAGTCTAGGTCGGTGATGGTACTACCTCCGTCGTTCTCATTGCTGCCGAACTCCTCCGCCGCGCCAACGAGCTGATGAAGAACCGCATACACCCTACCACCATCATCAACGGTTACAGGCTAGCCCTGAGGGAAGCTGTCAAGTACATGAACGAGAACATCACCACAAAGGTTGAGACGCTTGGAAAGGACAGCTTGGTCAACATCGCCAAGACGTCCATGTCCAGCAAGATCATTGGCTCCGATGCCGATTTCTACGCCAACATGGTCGTTGATGCCATGCAACAGGTCAAGACCACCAACCAGAAGAACGAGGTCAAGTACCCCGTGAAGGCTGTCAACCTGCTCAAGGCTCACGGAAAGAGTGGTCGCGAGTCCATTCTCGTCAACGGCTATGCCCTCAACTGCACCGTCGCCTCCCAGGCCATGAAGACTCGGATAACCGACGCGAAGATTGCTTGCTTGGACATGAACCTGCAGAAGGAGAGAATGAAGCTTGGCGTTCAGATCACAGTCGACGACCCCGATCAGCTGGAGAAGATCCGTGAGAGAGAATCTGGTATCGTCCTCGAGCGTGTGGAGATGATCCTCAAGTCTGGTGCCAACGTCGTCTTCACCACCAAGGGTATCGACGACATGGTCCTCAAGCTCTTCGTTGAGAAGGGTGCCATGGCTGTCCGCCGTTGCAAGAAGGAAGACCTGAGACGTATTGCCAGGGCCACTGGCGCTACCCTGATCAACACCCTCTCTGACCTCAACGGTGACGAGAAGTTCGAGGCTTCCTACCTGGGTCATGCCGAGGAAGTTGTCCAGGAGCGGATATCCGACGATGAGTGTATCCTTGTCAAGGGCACCAAGGTTCACACCTCTGCCTCCATCATCCTGCGGGGCCCCAACGACTTCAGCTTGGACGAGATGGAGCGTTCCGTACACGACTCTCTGTGCGCTGTCAAGCGTACTCTGGAGAGCGGTAGCATCGTACCCGGTGGTGGTGCCGTCGAGACGGCTCTTCACATCTACCTCGAAGAGTTCGCAGTCACAGTGGTACGTTTTCCACAAAATCCTCGGTCCCAGCCTATTCAAGCTCAGTACTAACTCCACTTCCAGGGCTCCCGCGAGCAACTCGCCATCGGCGAATTCGCCCAATCCCTCCTGACCGTCCCCAAGACCTTGGCCGTCAATGCCGCCAAGGACTCCTCCGAGCTCGTCGCCCAGCTCCGTGTCCGCCACGCTCTCTCCCAGCGCGTCCAGGAGGGCGACGCCAACGAGGAAGAGAAGGCCATCGCCAAGAAGAAGACGTACCGCAACTACGGTCTCGACCTGACAAAGGGCCGTGTTCACGACGCCCTCAAGGCCGGAGTTCTGGAGCCCAGCATGGGTAAGATCAAGCAGCTCAAGAGTGCTGTCGAGGCTTGCATCGCCATTATGCGTATTGATACCATGATCAAGTTGGACCCTGAGAGGCAGGAGGATGATGGCCACGGTCACTAATTTATTAGTCTTGTTTTACGTATGGGGAGTTCTCCTTGCTTTCTTCTAGACCTTTGTGTGGCGAGGGCTGAGAGAGAAAAAGTATAATAAGATGTTCATGAGTACAAATTTACTACCTTATTAAACTAGTATTGACGTATATGTTTCTCCTGGTTTAGTCTTCTTGTGGTATGTTTACGCTACTTGTGGCAATGCCTAAGGGTGGGTGGTAAATTGACTTATTACGGTGTATTAATCACTTCAAAGCACGTCACATATGTAAAGCAGCAGCAGTAGCAGCAGCAGCAATGTTCAATCACAATAAGAAAGAACTGAAGTCCTCGTTGCCATGCAATAAAAAAATCCGACGCTATCAATCACAAAACAGCAAAGCACCTAAAAGGGTGAACAAAACGATCCAAAACACCCCGCTAAATCAAACATCTATGCTTCTTCCGACGCCATACAATGCATGCAAACCCGGTGAGCCGTAAAACAAAAAAGAAACAAAACAATTATGTAGTCCTTCAAATGGGTCATTCTTCGTCGTCATCATAGGAGTCTGGGGTTTCCGCCCAGCCACAGCGCCATCTCTTTCCTTCTGCCTCTCCACTGGTTCTGAGGTCTCGGGCTTCAGGTCCTTCGCGCCAGCATCGAGCGGTGTAGTCATCGCTGACGGTGACAAGTTCGCCGTCGGCGGTCCATGACACGGCGGAGACTTCCTTCACATGGCCCCCAACTAGGGGTGTTCCGGACTGGTAAATGGGGATGGTGTCTTCTACCCGTCCTGAGTATGCACGACGGAGGCCGGAGCGGGTGGCTGATGATGGCATCGGGGGAAGGAAGTCATCCTCGGCGGTTGTCTTATGATCATTGGAGAGGAATCGCTCATCTGTTGGGAAGAGGACGGAACAGTTATCGGCACTCCCAGCAGCTAGCATTTCTGGCTTGTCACCGGTGGCTTTGCGAACCCCAACTTTAACATAGAAGGTTGCAACTTGGAGACGCGGATGACGGAAGCCATATAAAGGTCCTAACCCTTCCTTGTCAGATCCACCGGTGCGACGTGGTCGGTTGTTGTTCAGAGAAAGCTCGGGGGCACTACCCAAGACCAGATGTGACGTTGAGTAGGTGTATACAGTGCCGTCCCGACACAGCGTGTATAGTCTTGCACCATCTCCGCCTAAGGCCATTGATGTGACAGCAAAGCCCCGATACTTGATGTGGCTATCCGGCTGTCTAGTAGTAGCCAAAGGAAGAACTGGACGACCACGGCGGTTGTTGTGTGCTGTACGCAGATCCCACAACCTCACGCAAGAGTTCGTACTCGAAGCCGTGACGAAGAGGTTCTCGCGACCTTGCGGAAGGAAGGCCAAAGAGGTAACGGTAATATCTGAACGGCGAACTTGGGGTTCCATTTTCTCTGGCGACATGCCTGTTTGCGACGTCCATGCATGGGCGCCGTGGATAGTACTCAATACCTGAGGGAAGGCGGTCTTGGAGGTGATGGAGCCAGCAGTCGTTTCTGCGTCAGATTCAAGCGAGCACCGCGCCTGCAGGCTCGGTCTGTCGAATCCTTTGCATCGGAGATCCCATATGTTGACATTGCCATCACGACTGCAGGTCGCAAGAACTTTGTTGTTGGCCGCTGGTTGGAACTGAACCTGCTTGACGGAGGACACATGGTTGGATAGGCAATACACCGGCGTCTGAGTGGCCATATCAATGACCAGTGCTGTTTGGTCTCCAGAGGCTGTCGCCAGTAGCATATCATCGGACGAAAATTGCAGGTCCATGATCGAGTTCGTATGTGGGCGGAACGTAAGATATGCTCGAGAAAAGCCGCTCTTGTCGTCTTTGGCAGAATCCAACAACCGAATTCCTCCCTCCTCATCTCCTACTGCAATGAGACTATTGGCTGTGGAGCCGGTTAGTAAGTACACACAGACAAAAAGCAATCCTGTTGTCACCCACTATTGCATGCAGCAGTGCAAAACGGCAAGACGTAGCGGTCACCGGAAATATTCGCACAGTTGTGGCTGTCGTTTGGTCGAGAATAGAAGTTTGACGTCAGGTCCTGCCAGCCTTCATAAATTATGAGTATAACGTCACAAACATAGGGGGATGTACAACTTACCAGCTCCTGAATTAGACCGCATAGTCACTCTATTGGCCCGAGACCCCGAAAGGCTTCGCATATACAACGCTCCGGAGGATTGCAAGGCCTGCGACCGGCGAACTGGGAGAACCTGTCGAGGAGGTTTTGAAACAGCGTTTGGCTTGACATCATCATCCCTCGATTCGATCTTGAGCTGGATGTCTCGAACTGGTACAGCTACTTCTTCGTCATTCTGGACTGCATGGCGGACCTGGACTTTTTTAAGAGGTGACGACTGCAGGGGAGAGCCAATTGAAGAGAAAGAAAGCTTCCGTTTCCGTGACGGTGTTCGTGTGAAGTCAGGTGCTTCTGGCCTATGTTCAACGGCTTTGGATGTCCTTGTAAAGGCGGGCCCAAGGCGATTGACGGCAGGGGAGCTGAGGGCTTTCAAAGCCTGGCGATTGGTTCTCACTGAGCTTGCACTGTTCCCGCCATCGAGCATGGAACGAGGCGTGAAGAACCGTCTAAATGATCGTGGAGTGACCGGGGGAGGCTTCTTGGGCTTGCGTCGGTAGCCAACGTCGGACGCTATCGAGGGCGGCGAGGAGGGAAGCTCCTGTGATGTTGTAGGAGGAAAGACGGGCTCAGACCGAGGTACTT